CTAACCTAACCCCAATATAAGATGACCCTAACCCTAACGTTAATTCAATAAAATATATATTATAAGAATCTGCTCCGTCCCCTATAACGGGATCCCCACAGTTCTGATTGGACATTTGTAAATGCCGTCTCTGATTGAAAGTAGGCCACTCTTCGTCTACCAATTAAATTATAAGATCAGGTGTAACATAAAATTTTCAGTCAAAAACCACCTTGTGTTTTTAACAAAAAATTATAGCATATATCTATTATTGGACGTTTCAATGATACTTCCATTATTTGATTTGATCGAAAAACAGGATTTTTCTTCGTCCAATAGGAACTATGGGGAGAAATTAGTAAACCCGGCTTTAGCCATCCCCAAATCAGGTATTCCGTCACACTCGCTCCAGGATTACACTACCTCCAAAAATACAGTTTAAATTCTGACCCAAATATATGCTCTGATCCCATAAAATGATTTTTCATATTGTTCTATAAAATGATTTTTCTTATTCTTATTGTTCACTTTGTCAAAAATCCGATCTCCACGAGTTGCATTTAGAGAGATCTGCAATACTATAATTATCAATGAACAGCGAAAAAAAATGTACTTGGACACCAAACACTACCTTACCAAGTTTTCATCATCACGAAGAGCAGTAAGTCACGCTTTGTACATAAACAAGCAGGAATTGAAAAAATGATTTCTCATTAGTTGAAATTTTACTTATAAATCAAGTTTACCTGAGCCACCGATCCTAGATAATATACTTGATCATATTGGAAATACGCCTCTTGTGAGAATCAATAGAATTACAAAAGCCGAAGGAATTGAATGTGAAATTTGTAAGTTTTTTGTGCTTTTTATCTGTTACGTTAGCTTGATCAATAGCATTATTTATTTACGAGTACGCACATAGTGGCAAAATGTGAATATTTCAATGCTGGAGGGTCTGTAAAAGATCGAATTGGAAAACGCATGGTTGAAGAAGCTGAAAGAGCTGGAACCATAAAACCCGGCTACACATTAATTGAACCAACTTCCGGAAACACCGGAATTGGAATCGCACTGGCTGCTGCCGTAAAAGGATATCGAGCGATTATTACTCTTCCAGAAAAAATGAGTCAGGAGAAGGTACATAAATATACATACTTAATCATTATAAATTACTTGTGATTCATTGATAATTGATCTATTTAGGTCGATATACTCAAAGCGCTTGGTGCAGAAATTGTTCGTACACCAACTGAGGCAGCATGGGATTCACCGGAATCACACATCGGGGTTGCAAAGCGGCTCAATAAGGAAATTCCAAACTCGATTATTTTGGATCAATATTCTAATCCATATAATCCTATCGCCCATTACGATCATACTGCAGAAGAAATTTTGAAATCATGCGATGGAAAAATAGATATGTTTGTTTGTGGTGCAGGTACAGGTGGATCTATAACTGGTGTCGCTAGAAAATTAAAAGAAAAGTGTCCAGGGGTCAAGATTATTGGAGTGGATCCGGTTGGATCACTTCTTGCTGAGAAAGATCTTAACGCACCCATTGTTTCATACTTGGTAATGTTGATTATTTCATAATTGTAAGTTGCTCTTATTTAATCGAAAACATGACGATTTCTTGGTATTATTGTTCAGGTTGAAGGTATTGGTTATGACTTTATTCCTGAGTCACTTGATCACAGCGTAATTGATGAATGGGTAAAGTCAGATGATAAAGAATCTTTTATCATGGCTCGGCGCCTAATTCGTGAAGAAGGGATCTTATGTGGTGGTTCATCCGGTTCCGTGTTGTGGGGGGCGATTCAAGCTGCGAAATCACTGAAAAAAGGTCAACGGTGCGTTGTGCTATTGGCCGATTCTGTGCGGAACTATATGACTAAATTCTTGAACGATGATTGGATGAAGATTCACGGATTTATCGATGAGACCTCACGAAAAGAAGAAGAAATAAAAATTAAACAATGGGGTGGTGCTACAATTCGTGACCTTAATCTCAAAATAGCTGTTACAATTAATGCGGAATCTTCTTGTAAGGAGGCTATCGAAATATTGAAGCAGAATGGATTCGATCAGTTACCTGTTACATTGTCACCAAGTAATAAGCTTGTCGGGTTGATTACTCTTGGTAATCTTTTATCACGAATTTCTAGGGGAAGAGCAACTCCTGATTCTCGTGTGAAAGAAGTGATGTTCAAGTTTATTAAGGCAAAAAATTATGAAGAAATTACATGTGATACACCATTGGAAAAGTTGACTAGGTTCTTTGAGCGTCATAGTTCCGCGGTTGTTACCGAGCGTGAACATGGTGAACTTATACCAAAGCATGTTGTAACAAAAGTGGATTTATTATCGTTCTTGGTCAAGAACTAAAGTACATAAAGGCCGCACTATACTTTTTTATGGGTTGTTCACGCCCAAATCCCAAAATTAATATCTTGAAACTTTATTAATTATTTTTATTTAAACAAATAATAGACAGTATTAGTCACAGAACATGTTCTTATTACAGGGGTTTTTATTTCTATTACTGTTACTTATAAAAAATCTAGATTCCGTAGGGGGCAATATTGCATACCTGACTTGACCAATCAGATCATCAATTTTTATGTAACGAATGAATGTAAACAGTAATCAAAAATTAAAAAATCGAAATTAATATTTATACACGGGGTATTTAAACACGGGTATGTTGATATCTCAAAATTTTGATTATAAAACACACGGTTGTTAAAAGTCCGATCCGACTCCTTAAACAGGGATTTTGATTAACTTGGTTTTTGAGTCAAGTTTGTTTATATAATAATAATACAGTAATATCTAAATAAAATTTTTTTTCTAAATGTTCTATCCTATATATTTTTATAGTATTTATACTTTTCAAAAAGGATATTTATAACTATAACTGGTGGTGATGATCACCAGTGTATAATTAGCAAATAAGTTTGTAGAATCAGGTGTAATGTGCAAATTAATTTGTGTAATAAAAATAAGGAAAGTTATATTCATAACACCGTGTTATATAACACCTTTTGCAATATCTCAAAAACGTACTAAGTAAATGGGTGTAGGTACTCTAAGTAAAAATGATCAGTGCTTCTGAAAACCTCATAAAAACTGAAATTGGGACCTATTAGGACCTTATATCTAATATATATTGTATAATAAAAAATCTCTATGTATCTTAAAACCGGACCCTAACCCTAAGTAAGACATATAGAGTGTTATAATAACACGGTGTTATGAATATAATATTTCTAAAAATAAAGATATTTTTTAAAAAAATATCAAATATTTCAAGAATTCGCCTATGAAATTACTTTCAACATTCTAACAAAAAAAAATTTTTTGCTAAATTTTGCATATATTTAACACTTTGCTAAAATTTTAGGTCTTACCTTAATTTTAAAATATATGAAATAAAATATTTTTTAGTTTATCATTATTGGGTAATTATATATCAGTGATGATCATCACTAGTTATTTTAAATAAAATCTTTTCAAAAAAATTTATTTTATATTTCTGTATTAATTTTTAAAATTTTAATTTTGGATTGGTTTTTTATTTGATGATTTGTCAGTTACTTGAATGATCTTAGTGCAGTTAGGAAATTTATCAAAAATAGACATTAAAGATTGTACCTTTATGATATAAAAATGTCAATCAGTAAATTCTAGATTTTATGATATATAACATTAATCAATCAAATTGATCAAAAAATTTCATATATAAATAGCTTATTATTAGTAAAGCTATTAGTAAAGTTTAATTTTTTACTAAATTTCTAAATAAAAATTATATGCTATTTAATTATTATATGTTATCAAATAAAAGTTACCTGAATAAAAGCTATTTCTTGATTTTGGATTCAAGAATTTGAAAAAGGTATTATGTTTTAATAGTAAAATTAGATTGAATAGAAGCTATCTTTCACTTTATCCTAAAAAAATTCTTATTTTTTTTAACATTTTGGTAGCTTTTATTTAGTAATATATAGTATTACTATTTTTATAATTATTTAATATAATATATAGTTTATATTATCAAACAATATCACTATATATTATTTATTTACTATATTTTTTTTATTAACTAGCCTCTTTAAGTTAAGATTTTTATTTAAGTATTTAGGTGGAGAGTTCACTACAGAACTTCTTATATTAGAAAGTATAACTAGTTATATATGAAACTTTTAATTGTTTATTTAAATAGTTCATACTATATTATGATTTTATACTATAGATTTTATATTAGCTATCATATCTATAATCTAACTAGGAGTTATCTATTTAAATCCTCTATAATGCAACCTGATTTGTATTATTAATATATTTTTATTATAATCATCAATTAAGAAGATTTGAATGCTTTTTCTGAAATCTTTAGAACTAATTTATTTTCAAAGCATTGTTGCTAGAGTTTTTTATACTCACAATCCAGTTAGTTTAGACTTCAGTAACTTACACTAAGTCCAAGAACAAGTACTTGTGAGCTGAAATTATTATTATTATCTTTGCAGAATTTATCCAACACTTAGTATCCACTATATAGACTATCAACTATTTCTTCAGCTTTTTCAAACTTTTAATTCAAATGGTCTAGATTTGCTAAATGTTTCAGTCCTATTTGATTTTTCTAGTTTTCTAAATAATAATTTTTTATATAATATCATCAAAGATCTGTACTATTTTTCTATTCAGGTTTTGTTAAGCAAACTTCTATATTTTTTAATTTGTTAGTTTTATATGACTGCTTTACTTAGATTTCATACTATATAACTTATATATCACACTATAGTTCTATAACCTTCTAGTACTAGCTGATATAACCATGTTATAGGTGCAAATCTAATGGGATACAGTTTACTTAATGTATTCTGTAAATTCGAATTTTATTACTAATGAGATTTAAATTTTTGTCTTGCTGCTTGGAATATGACAATTTACCAACTATACTAAATCATCACATTCTTAATTTTTTTGTTTTAACTCTATGAATTTATAGAATTGAAATAAAAAAAGTTAATTGAATTTGACAACTAATTATTAAAAAATATTCATTAAAAATAAAATTTGATTATAGCTTTTTTTTTATATTGTTATAGAATGAGTTGTAGTATTAGTTTTATTATTAGTTATTATTAGTTATATTATTAGTATTATTATATTATTATATTATTATCTTGTATTCTATTATTATA